AAAACGTAATGACCTATTTAAATCGAAGTTGATTTGCATCGAACTTTTCCTGAAAAAGTTATACTTTTTCAATGTTTCTAACTAAATACTTAAAAACTCAAAATTTAGTGAGAATATCGATATTATAAAAATATGCCACTAAGAGATGGTTGCATTGTTTGTGTACGTCAGCTGGACTATTTTAATATCTAACATTTTATTAATTTATTAGTTTATTCATCAAATAATATCTATCTATCCTTAATCCACATATACATACATATACATATACTAATAAACATACATATATATTTATATTCTAATAAGTTTATTGTATACATATATATACACATTAATATACATATTTGTATATTTTATCATGAGATGTACATTATGCCTTATCTGACCAGCAGGAGAATGAGTTTAATGTTTACATAGACATACACATAAGTATACATATTTGTATATTCTAAGATGTGAAGTACACTATGCCCTATCTGACCAGCAGGCTATAGAATGAGTTCATCATCAATCCTTCGAACCTTGGGCTGCGGAGGAACAATTACTTGGTTAGCACTGTCAGGAGGTAATAATAATAATAAAGATAATAATATTGATAATAATAATACTAAAAAAAAGACAATAGTTATGAAAAAATTTGATTTATCAAATGAAAATTCCCTTAGAAATAAATATGTTTAGTATTCGCGACCTTCTTTGTTGGTGAATACTTAGAAAGAGAACCTGAAGATCAATCTTTCTGGAAGGCAGGGATAATGGTAAATATTTGGCAGGGGTAATGGTAAATATTTGGAATGGATAATGATGAATATTGGGAGAGATAATGGCAAATATTTGGCAGGGATAATGGTAAATATTTGGCAGGGATAATGGTAACTATTTGGCAAGCATAATGGTAAATATTTGGCAGGGATAATTGTAAATATTTGGCAGGGATAATGGTAAATATTTGGCATGGATAATATGTCTATACCTCCGAACCATTTGAATAAAAAACTTCCAGATCTCATGAAAGTTAAATACTTTTTATGAGTAAGTTTTTGATGTTCTTTGTATGTAGGTTTTACAACAAAAAAAAAGATTTAAAATTGAAAACACGAAGATAATACTAGATTAATTTCTTCTTTTTATCAATTATATCATAATTATTTTCTGCATTAGTTGATTACTCAAAAAAAGAAACCTTGAAAATCTTCTAAAAGTTCTAAAAATTTGAAATTAAAAAAAAAGAAAAAATATCTTAACATAAATATATCAATTCCTCCTTTTCCAATAGTTTAATAACAAATTTAGCAAATATCTATTGAAGCAAAAATTGTTTGTACACAATTTAAAGTTTCGCAGATTTTCTTTCCTTTCATAAATTCTAGGTTTTTTAGGATTATCTCTTTAAGAAATATGTATTTTACCTAAGTAAATGTCTAGCTTATAACTTCTGAACTACAATAAAATCTGCTTTTAAAATCGGTTGTATAAAACTGGTTTCAGTTATTTTAATCTAATTCTAATCAATTGAATTTAAGAAAATATATTTAACTTAAAAATCTTGTATTCATTTGCGAATTCACCAAACATATACAGGGTGTCCCACGAAACATGATAGTTGATGAATAGTTTGGAATGTCGTCTTCCAAATACTGGATAAGATTTAAAGACTTTTTGCAGTTTAATTCGTTGGAAAAATCTTTTACTCCAATATATCTCAATCTACGATCGATTTTACTATAGTAAAACTGCCATATAATCTTTATTATTATTGACTTTGATATCGAACAACTTAACAAATTATGGAAGAAGACATTTTAAAATATTCACCAACTGTCATGTTCCTTGGGACACCCTGTATTTACATATTTTATTCAGTTTACAAATGTACGAAAATACAAGAAACCTCGGGCCGGTTTGCCAGGAGATAAATTTAACATTTTTCATCGTTGCAGTGATCGTTATATTAAAAATTAAGAAAAATGATTTAGATATAGTTCTAACTTAGTTGTATATAATGATGATTTGACTATTTCAGGCGATATCCTGTCTAGGCAGTATCTTGGGTACGGCGGGTGGGTTAACCGCCTTTCTGTTCTTACTTTATCAAACCTGTAAGAATAAAATAGATGATGATCCTAACACATGAGAATAAAAAGATATCAATGATTTTTAATATGTAAATATATTGTAATGTTTTTTTTTGCTGTTTGTTGTATATTTGTTAAGTAAAAATAAAAGCTAAATAAAAACTAAATAAAAGGATTTGAAGTTTTCATTGAGAAATTCTGTATTTTGAAATACAGGCAAAAGTATTTTTTTTCTGAGACGCTACGACATTTTTTCTATTTCCATCTGCTCTAGTCTTATAACGATTTTTTTCTAAAGCTCATAGATCACGACGCTTACTTCACTCCTCATTTGATCTATAGATTAAACGCATCATTTGCGCTATAAACAATATTTAAAAACTGTCTTGGTAAATTTGCTCTATTTAACTTTAGCCCTGAGAGTCATTAGGGGAACGATCGTTCTTTCACAAGAACAAACGGAACTATCAAAAACGATCCCATTGTTCCGAAAAAAGAACGACCGCATAGAACGCGTTCTTAAAAATGTTGGAACAATTTGTAAAGGAACGGAAATTTTTGAAAAGAGCGTTCTAAATCAGGAACGCGTTCTAAATCAAGAAGGCATTTTAAATGAGGAATGTGTTCTAAATCATCTAGAAATATTTGAAAGATTTTTTAGATTTGATCACCTGAACCAACCCCCTCTAGACTAGAAACTTAGGAATACAAGACGCTCTGCTTCATCTTTGTATCTCGTATCTATATATTTAACTCATCTGTCAGGGTGTCTGTATCCAATAAACGTCAAAATAGTTGAACCGAGCAGGCTTTCGCGGGGTTGGAGCAGGCTTCTGCGGGGTTCGAACAGGATATTGCGGGGTTCATGGCCGCATGGCTCCCCCTCCCTCGTTCTATCTAAGCCTGAGTTTGGGTTTTACTTGGGTTTAAACTTTTAAAACCTCATCTCTGGCGTTAAACAACTAATGAATTCGAGGAGGAAGGGAAAAATGTTGAAATGTGAATCCCCCAAAATATCTGGATATTTGGAAAATCTCATCTATATAATAATGCTCTTCACTCATATAATATGAAACACAGTGTCCAGCAATAACCAATATTAATACACAATAAAACATGTTCTAGACTTATTTTTTAGTATAAATAAATCGACCAAGTTGGCTGACGTTTTTTGAGGGAACCCATTGGTACCCTTAGTGTAAAATTCGCCTTTTTCAAGCTGGTTGTTAATAATCTTGAAACCTTCGAAAGTAATTTGGACATCGGAGACAGTTATTAAATGCTGACTTGTTAGCTAAATTATTTCACAGATCAAAGACAATCTTCATCCTGTCTCTTAACCATGGATCAACTATTCCATGCTCTTAGCTGTCGTGTTTCGCAGCACACCCTGTATTTGCAGCCTAAGAGTTCAATCACGATACATATACTTACAAACACTGAAATATCTAAAAATGTTATATTGTTGTAAAAAAAACACAATACGTCTATAAATGTTAGAAATCTAAAATATTTTCAAAAATATGTAAACATCCCCAACTCGACTTCCATCCTTCTATTTAACCTATTCTCTTCTTGGTTCTACGACTACGAAACTAATCTGTTGAAGGGAAATGGAAAGTATTTTTCGGAGATATTTGATATTATCTTTATTCATTCATTATTTATATCATTCTGTAAAAATACGTGAAATCATTGTAAAAAAAGTGTCCAGTATCAGGTTTATTCCAACTGAAGATTGGGTCGGACCCATGAACATATGCTGTCTTGGGAGAATATATATCAAAACATTTCATTTTGTATATTTCAACTGAAAAAAATTAAAAATATTATATATATTTTTAATATATCCAATATCCTACAACAATTGAATTCTCAATTTGTTTTCTTGGTTTAATATCATGAAGGATCTACATTCTACAGGTTGTAAGTTTCTAAAAATTATAATAAAGTGTATTATAGTTTAAATATGAATACAAAAAAGTTTTAGAAAGTTAGTACGGTAAAGTTAAAGGACAAGGTGAAATTTTACGACACTTGGTAATATTTTTCAACAAATCTGTTGTTAAAACTTTCGGTACTTGCTAAAATCGGAAACAAACATTATCATATCAATTATTCGTAATATTGCAATGTACCAATGTTTTATGTTTATTAATCTATTCACAAACAAGACAGATATTAATCTATTCACAAACAAGACAGATATTAATCTATTCACAAACAAGACAGATATTAATCTATTCACAAACAAGACAGATATTAATCTATTCACAAACAAGACAGATATTAATCTATTCACAAACAAGACAGATATTAATCTATTCACAAACAAGACAGATACAGTGTCTCTCAACCAAAAATCCTAAATGCAATGAACAGTTGAAAACCATTAAATTGTAGAATATATTTCGCAAAAGTTTAATTCGGATTTCTGTGTAGTTGCATTTGTTACAGCTGATATATCTTGACCAAATTTAAAGAAAAGCTAAGACGACGAGAATCCAGTAGTTTTCTGGGTCTCATTGTATGCATCCGGCCATGTCATTTAACTAGATTTGTATTTGGAGGGGGGTGATTCTAAAATACTTAAGCACTGAACAATGAACATTCAACATGGGTATATGTTTTGTAAGACCCCCCCCCCAGGCCCGGATTTAGAAGATATTGGGAAGAAAAAAAGAATTCGAGGTTTTTCCTCCTCTTGATACTTATTGCTTTTACACCTAAAAGATATTTATTTTCCCTACTCCTACTGATCAAACCACAAAATGTAGAGATGGCAGATTTGACTAAGTCTTAATTCAACGTTCGAAAAGATGCAGTAGTTTTAGTCTCCCTTATCTAACTACATAACTTATCAGCATTTAAAAAATTATCTTTAATGCAAAAAATTGTAAGGTCTTTTTTAAAAAATATTTAGAGTCTGCATTAAAAATATCTATTGACTAAAAAACGTAACAAAGAAACATTTTCTCAAAGAAACTGGATGACGTAAAGCTTATTTAAACTTGTACATATTTTTATACGCAGAATCTGGCAAAAATTCTCCTTTCCGAGAACTTTGCTGAAATTTCTTCATGTACAGGTTCATTTGCTCGCCACTCATCTTAGCTCGAGATCCTGAAGTAAACAGTTTACAAATTGGGCTTTTAAATATCATAGTCTTAGCTGCTTCAGGGGCGGAGTTTTACAAACCAAACTTGGAGCCAAAACCTGACAAAAGTACTAAATTGCGATTTAAATCGTTTTTCTCTCGAGTAAACCCCATTCTTTTTATTAGAGAATTATAAATTTTTATTAAACTTTCTATTTCCGTTACAGTGCTAAGGATCCATTTAATTTTGATGCGGATCCGCATCCTGAATCCACGCTGGAAAAAAAATGGATTTTTTTTAACAATAAAAATAATTTTAAAAATAATTTTCAAATTTCAAATTTTCAAATTATAACTTTAACTAGGGAATATTTCTATATGTTATCTAAATTAAATCTCCTCTTTGGAGTCATTTGAGTGAGAAGTCCCTAAAAAATCGGTTCAGACGTTAGACATTTGCTTAAGTGGATACGAATAAAAAGACCCCGAAATTTAAAACAAAATACAGAAACTCGCGGAAAACATTTTCCTACATTTCTCTCTACTAAGTTCCATACAATTTCTTTAAAATTAGTTCCTCTTTATCTCTTTAAACATTCAAAAATAGAAAGTGTTTAAACACAGATGACCGAAACAATTAAAACACAGAAAAACATTTGAAGAGAGAACAGAAAACATGGCGAGAGGCTTTGAAAAAAGACTAAAATCGAGCGTTTAAGCATAAGACAAATACATAGAGAATTTAAAGACAGACGAACATGGACCGTTTACACTTAAGACAAAAACATAGAGAATTTATACACAGACAAAACATGGAGCGTTTAAGCTAAGACAAAACATAGAGAATTTAAGCCCAGACAAACATGGACCGTTTAAACTTAGACAAAAACATAGAGAATTTAAACACAGACGAACATGGACCGTTTACACTTAAGACAAAAACAGAGAATTTATACACAGACAAAACATGGAGCGTTTAAGCTAAGACAAAACATAGAGAATTTAAGCCCAGACAAACATGGACCGTTTAAATTTAGACAAAAACATAGAGAATTTAAACACAGACGAACATGGACAATTTAAACTTAAGACAAAAACATAGAGAATTTATACACAGACAAAACATGGAGCGTTTAAACATAAGACAAAAACATAGAAAATTTATACACAGACAAAACGTGGAGCGTTTAAACATAAGACAAAAACATAGAGAATTTAAAAACAAACGAACATGGAGCGTTTAAACATAAGACAAAAAAATAGAGAATTTATACACAGAAAAACGTGGAGAACGCAGACAAACATAAAGAAATAAACACACACAAACATTGAGAGTTTCAACTTTTAACACAGACAAAACATCTATGAAAATTTAAACACAGACGCAAATGGAACATTTAAACAAAAACAAGAGATTGAGAATTTAACCACAGAAAAAGAAAGAGAGATAATATAGAAAAATACTACAGAAAACATCTGAGTACAAAAACTAAATTAGTTAAAAACAAAGACAAACAAAGAAAAATATTACAGAAAAATCAAAACGAGTTTAATTCAACAAAGAGACACTTAAAAGTTTAATTGTAGGAATTTAACCACAGACCAACATAGAGAGAGATTAAACACAGACAAACATTTAAAGAGATAAATACTGACAATAGAGCGAATTTAAAAACAAAAAATAGAGACAAAGACAAAAAAGAGAATTAAAAAACACATACAAACTTAATGAGTGTTTAACAGAGACAAAAAGTTTAAACACAGACAAACAAAGAAAGTTAAAACATAGAATAGTTTAAACACAGAAAACATAGAAAAGTTGAACACAGACAAACATAGAAAGGTTAAACACAGACAAACATAGATTGGTTACACACAGACAAACATAGAAAGTTAAAACAGAGAACATTGAAAGGTTAAACACAGACAAACATAGAAAGTTAAAACAGAGAAACTTTAAGAGAGTTTAAGGACAGATAAACATAGAAAGTTAAAACACAGAAAACATAGAAAGATTAAACGTAGACAAACTTTAAGAGAGTTTAAGGACAGACAAACATACATAGTTTAAACACATACAAACATTGACAAATACAAAAACAAAAACAAAACAGAATTTGCCACATGGATTTTAAAAACAGACAAACGCAAACAGATTTTATCCACAGACAAACATGGATAAAGGTTAAACACACACAATAGAATACCTGTCGGAAGAGTTCCAGATTTCTTTATTTCATTGAGAACACCTTGCTGATCCTTGAAGTTCTTAAAGCAAGCATTGAAGGATGTTAGTTCCTAAATAGCTTTAATTAATTAGCTTTATTATTAATTAAGTTTCATGAATAGCTTTTTTATAATGAAGTATAATGAAGTAAGTCCAATTTTAATTTTAATTGGAATTGAGTAGCATTGAAGGCTGTAATTTTCGAAATAGCTTTGATTAATTAGATTTTATTATTTATTAAGTTTTCATTAATAGCTTTTTTATAATGAAGCAAGTCCAATTTTAATTTTTATTGGAATTGAGTTCATTTTGCATGATTATCCGAAATCTAAACATCATTATGTCTCTAGATGAAATACGGTATCAAAGATTATCATTTGTTTTCAAGTTTGTTGGAACTCTTTGCTGAAAGATGCAAATGTTCATGATATTAATCCATCAAATCAAAAAAATCAATCAAATATTAGACTATCAATCAATCAAATAACAAATCTATCAATCAACTAATTAATCAATTAATTAATGAGACGATCTATCAACCAGTCACCCAACCTGAAACCACATAATTATTAACCAATAAAGAAATTTATGTGTCAACAAAATAACGCTTGAATGAATAAATAAATGACATAACAATCGACCCAATAAACCATCATAACAATCAACCAATCGAACAAAACAATCGACGCAATAAACCATCATAACAATCAACCAATCGAAGAAAAGAATCGACTCAATAAACCATCATAACAATCAACCAATCGAACAAAACAATCGACCCAATAAAACATCATAACAATCCACCAATTGAACACTTTTTTAACATCAAATTATCAACTTATATTTTTCCCAATTAACTGAACGGCAAACCAATGAACTTGTTGTCTCATTAACTATACTCTCAATCAATCAATCAATCAATCAATCAATCAATCAATCAGTATATATTGAGGAAGAAAACCACTTCAGTCAGTCAGTCAGTCAGTCAGTCAGTCAGTCAGTCAGTCAGTCAGTCAGTCAGTCAGTCAGTCAGTCAGTCAGTCAGTCAGTCAGTCACTCACTTAATCAAACTTTTAGAGACACCATATCTATGACTTCTAAATCTAAGTCAAATGACACCAAAACTAATATTAATTACCTTTCCACACATTGACTGATTCTGATCGTATTTACTCATGCAGGAGATAACTAAATAAATTATTTAATAAGAACTTCTAAATTTTCTTGAATTTGATTCTTTGTGTTTTTATTTTTAAAGATTAAATTGTATCAACAAATGTAGGTTTATTAGTCTAAAAAACAGAAAAAAAGTTTAGGTGAGAAACAACAGAAATTCGAAAAAGGAAACCAGGAAAAAATTTACATTTTTTTTTGAGGACAATTATTAGTTATGATCTAGTACGTGTATCATACAAAATTACGACGTTTATCTGAATATTGACAAAAATCAAAATATTTCCGATTTTCCTTGTTAGGAGCACAATGTTTACCTTCCATCATCTCCTCAAAACATGCTTTTTTACGATCCTAAAACATAGCATTGTTATAAACCTGAGCTGAAATCCTTAATCCCGATCGGGTAATTAATCTGGAGATTAATAACAATGTGGAGAAAAAGCTTCATTTAATCTCGAGATTAAGAAAAAGAAGAGATTAATGCTTTATCATCTCTGCTTATTCATTAGTCTTAAGATTTTTTTCTAGAGATGCGATCCTAAACTTTTGAAAACCCGGTTTTTAATTTTTCCGCATTTGTGGTGTAACATCAATTGGACCAAGGATCGATTGACCGAACGTAAGTTTTGAATAAATGTTTATTAAGACTAACGTTCAATAGGACTAAAGTCCTCGAATGTGATAAATTATGTTTTTTAATAAGTTCATATTAACATCGTTAAATTTATATTTGTTTAAATGCTGTAAAAGCTGGCTTGTGAACAGCTGACTAAAGTTCAATCGGATATTAATTAGTCCAATCGATATAGCTTCGTATCTTTAATTTGTCATCAAACGTAACTTTAAACGTTTATTACCAAAAAGAGAGGATTCAGAAGAAAATCAAGTGTTCACCTTCCAACACGAGGACGGCATTTACTATTTTTAAATCCACCAAACCAAATTAAAAAAGAAAATCCTCGAATATTTTAGTTTTTTCTATAGTATCATGAAAAATAGCGGCTTAAAAACAGTTAAACTCTAACATTATTTCTAGAAAACGGGCGTAAAGTGCTCGGAAAAACTATTTACAAAATCAGTTTAAAAGTAAGAAAAATCATACATGTACCTTACTAGACTTTAAACTGACATTATTTTTAAGTGCAAGAGGCGTTCTCTCAATGTAGGGGACTTGATGGTCCTGAAAAAAAAGTATAATTAATTCCAATAAAAAGAAATTATGGCTTATACATTGAAATATTTGTACCTGGATATTTTTCCTCCCAAACCCTGGCCTGCCATGGATATCATCAGCTCTCTATGCAAAGAAAATATCCTGAGGCCGAATTTAAAGAATCTCAGCCGCTACTTTTTAAGCCACAACTCAAATATGGTTAGTTCCACTTAAAATTGTATTCAATTTTTCAAGATTTAATCCAGCGCTCAATTGAAACCGAGTTTTGGCAGATTTAAGCCGCGGCTTAAATTCATTAAATTCGGACACTGTTCAGATCAGTGAATATTAAATAGCCCCTCCTTAAATACCATTTAATCCTCCAACAGAAGACATTTTTGAGAAGGTTTAACTTTTTTTCTTATTTTTTTTCACTGCATTTGAAGAAATTTGGGGAAATTCTCCAAGCCATTATACGGGTGGGAGAAATCGCATTCAACGATTAAATTTTTATTTTTAAACCCCTTATTAATCTTATTGTGTCACATGGTTTATTTTCTTATTCATACAATTCTTCTATTTTTAGTATCTAGCATAAAATGTTAATTAATTTAATGTTAGGATGTCGTAGTTCCATTGAATTATATCTTCGTATCCTGTTCATTGTAAACCCTTTTTTAATTCATTTTCTTTGCTTTTTGTTTCCCTTTCAACAGTTGATTTCAATCTTTTTTACTTCCGTTCTAGAAGCAGTGCTTATGATCCTTTAATTTTGATGCGGATCCGGATCATGGATCCGAACTTGAAAAAATGGATCCGGATCCAGATTCAAATAATGAATATTTCTTTAGGTTTTGCCTACTTGTTAAACAATTGTAGAAATAAAAAAATGAATTCTTTTCTTTCTTTTCGCTAAAACTTGATAAGCCATTTATTAGGAAATTTTTGCTAATCTATCTCTTTACTCAACAGTTCAGATTAAGGCTTTGACAAAGTGCAATCATTTTTTTTTTTGCAGTATTTGGTTGATGTTTTGCTCCTTGGATCCGGAGCCAGTAAACCAACGGATCCCGATCCTAAGCGCTGCCTAGAAAAATATTGAACCCGGGATCTTACCCTGAAAAGAGTTGGAGAGAGACGAGCAGCCGCAATATTTGTTAGATTCACCATCTTGAATTCAGCCTTCAGTCTCTTTATTCTTCACAAGATTATTCTACGAAAGTAATATTTCACTCAAACTACACTTATTTTGTTCAATTAGCTCATAAAATCACCGCAGTAAGTGACGACAAACCAAAGCGTTAATTCTCTATATTAACGTAATCCCAATCCCCCGTTATTATACCGAAAATTTTTAATCCTAAATTTTAACTAAAGGAAAATAAGTGTTAATTGTTAAGAGGAGAAAAGCAAAATTAAAAAATAAAACTTATTTTTTTCTTATGCGAAATTTGATGTTACGAGAAGCTTGAGGATTAGTAGTATCTGAAATCAAAAATCTACCACTGGATTCAGGAAAATCCGCAAAAAAAGTTTTAAAATGTACAGAGCCGGTGTCATGCATGGAGCCGTCCGCATATGACATTTTCCTATCATTATTAATGATTAATGAATCCAAGAGGGATTAATCTTTTTTGCCTTTACCCCCTTTAAAATACATTAATGAACTAAAAGCGTATTTAATATATGTATTGACTCCTAATAATTTTCAATGTTACAATAGTCCTTTTTAAGTCAAAATGGTTAAAACTTTAGGGGGAGTCCGCCCCATGCAAGACACCTGTAACAGAATGAAGAGATCTTCCAGCTGATAAGGTAGTTATCAAACAGCAAATTTTAAGACAAAAGCTTCATGAATGATACAGTACAATACTTGCAAATAGATATGTATTCTTAAGAGAAGTTAAAAATAATAATTAACTCCCAAATTTTCCTAATTTGTCGCCATTAACATAATGAAGTATAAATTTATTTATACTATAGTTGCTTCTATTTTAAACATGAATACAAAATTTGAATTCCTAGCGGCGCATATCTGACAATTTGGCAGGCGGACATCATCCAATACTACAGGGATAAAATTAGATCATTTAAATATTGAAATATTTGACAGAAGGAACAGAAGAATATGTCTACTAGTCAAATTTTCCCAACCTATGGAACGTGAGCTGAAAACTAAATATTAAAGGGACTGTGCAGATTTTTAAGCACATGGACAGTGATTTTATTAACTATGGGATTTATAAACCTCTGAAAGTACGTTGTGAGAACCAAGTATTAAAAAAAGAATTCGCAACAAAGAACAACTTTAAATAATTGTCTTTCAATTATTTTAACAAATCTATGTACGGGTTTTCCCAACTTTTATTTTAACTTTTAGTTCAAACAAGTTCTTTTAGATGTTTTTCATGAAAAAATGAGCGACTTAAAAATTCACAACTTTGTTTGCATCCCTGTAAATTATCATTTAAATAGTAGACAAAATTGGCTGAAATTTGTTGAGGATAATATNTTACATAGGATAAAAAATTCGATTTTCTTTTTTGAATCAAATTCGTTTTCAAAATCGAAATGTTTTCAGGTTTTCAAAATTTAACTGAGATTTTCTTGGTTCAACTGTTTTCCTCTATTTGACCCTCTCTGGAAAAATTTTCAACGAGAGTATACAGGGTGTCCACATCAAATTAGACCGCGTCAATGGGTCTAAATTACGATTTGAGGACAAATCGGAAAATTTAAGAAAAATGAATAATTTTGAAAAATTTAATAAGGCTAAGAGAAGTTTTTTTTTGCAGAAAATACAAGATTTGTTTAGCATTATGTGCGTACTTTGGCGCTAAGGATTAAAGATAATTTAATATCATATGGAGCGCTCTGTACGTCAACTAAAATTAACCAAATACAAAATAGTCGAAAAGATTTGACAATTGGGTTTCCTTTTTATGGAGAGCAAGGTCGATTAAAGTGACGAAAGTTTCAAAATATTTAGTTTACCCCCTTCAACGCAATTTCTTTTACATGGTCAAGTTAGAGTTCTATTCTGTATTTAGAAATAGCTACTAGCTTAAACCCTATCTTAACCTGTGGTCGAATTTAAAGAATTTAAGTAGCGGCTTTAATCTGCCAAAACCCGGTTTGAATTGAGCGCCGGCTTAAATCTTGAAACATTTGATACAATTTTAAGTGAAAAGAGTGAATCCAACCATAATTAAGCCGCGGCTCAAATCCTTAAAATTCGGCCTCTGGAAACTTATTTTAAATATCCTCGATTTCAAACTTTCTTACCAAGTTAAGCACATTTTAAATTTGACCAAGTTCTAATAAAAATTGAGATTAATCAATCGAAAGGGTTCTGGGTTCATGAGTTGTGATCAAACAGCCTTGCAATAATCAAGATAGTACAATAATGCAACCGTGTTAGTATTATAGCTGCAGCTAGCATTGTGAATTTCTTGAATCAAGACGAAATATACACTTTCCTATAATTAGATTCAGATGCTACAGCATTCTCTTCTGAAATGAGGAAAATGAAAATTAAGTGAAATTTAATCGTTTAATATGTTTCTAGACACGTAATTACAAATATATACAGAAATTAGCAGCATACAAATACACCGTCACATTTTAACTAAATAATTCGAGAGATTACAAAATGCTTAAAACCGTCTTCCTCTCTTGGCTCCAGGTCCCTCGTTCATACCGCCGTCAAACTGTCGGCGGGGGTTACCTCCCATGGGCATACCTCCGCCTCGTCCGCCGCCCATACCGCCTCGTCCTCCCATGTCCATACCGCCACGCCCACCTCGGGACATTGCAAAATCTTCCTCGTCCCGCCCTAATCAGAACAACAATCAAGCAGGAACTAAGTTTAAAAATTCTAATTGGTTTTGATAATCTTTAACATATTTCTCTAAAAATAATTCCTCTCTTTTGAACATAAATTTTCCCCAGAATTCATATATAATTCCTCGGAGCTGAGTTGAGAACGATATTGAATTTTTATAAGAAGTATCAAAAAGAACGAAAAAATTCCTTTTGATGCCCAATTTTTCATTTTTTTTTCCAAATTATAAGTAGCATTCAATTCTAAAAAATATACACAATTTTCATGAAAAAAGAAATAGAAAATATATTGTTATAATATACCGTACCTCTACTATTTCTGAATCCTTCATTGAATCCTCCCATTCCGCCTCGGCCTCCTCCCATACCTCCTCTTCCTCCTCCCATACCACCGCCCATGCCTCCACCCATACCGCCGCCCATGCCTCCTCCCATTCCTCCACCCATACCTCCCATGCCACCACCCATACCTCCCATGCCACCGCCCATACCGCCTCCCATTCCACGTCGTACGTCAGGACCATCGAGCATTTGGTTCATTTCTTGAGCCTAATTAATAGAATACAAAAATGAAAGGTTCAATGAGGATCTCTTTTTTAAGAGAATCTCTTTTTTTTAAGAGAATCTCTTAAGAGAATCTATTATTTTAAGAGAATGTTTTTTTAAGAGAATCTCTTTTTTTCAGAGTATCTCTTTTATTAGGAGAATCTTTTTTAAGAGAATTTCTTTTTAAAAGGATCTCTTTTTTAAAAAGGATCTTTTTAAAAGGATCTTTTTTAAAAGGATCTCTTTTTTGAAAGGATCTCTTTTTTAACAGGATCTCTTTTTTAAGATGATCTCATTTTTAAGAGGATCTTTTTTTTAGATGAGCTCTGGATTACGGGAAAAGCAGGGGTGCAACCATTTGAGGAATTTTTAAGATATGAAAATTATTTTTTCTGTCAGTACAATAAAAAGGGAAGAAAACTTTTAGGTTTAAATCAAATTATTTGAAGTGTATAAGGTTACCTGCATGAAGAGATTGTTCTCCTCCTGTCTTCTCTTCATAGAATCATCCTGTCTCTGCATCCTGTCAATCATCATCTTCTCCTCCTCAGCTCTTCTCTGCTGCTCCATACTCAACATACGTCCCATCTCCTGCAGATATGCAGAGTTTAAATAAACATAACAAAGGTATATGGTTTCATATACTACTAAATGAAGTGCCCGGCACTGCCCGTGGAATTAACAAAAATTAATTTACGAAGAAAAAATTAATTGAAACATATTAGATTTATATTTTTTTTTGATAATTTGTTACTCTCATGGGTTCCCTCAAAAAATATCAGCCAATTAGGTCCAGCTGTTTGGCCAGCTATAACTAACATATATATATATACAATTATATATACATATATATTATATATATATATGTATACACAAATATATACATATTCGCGAAGAGCTAGCTTTGTTAAATAGATGTCTTAAAAACAAACGGAGTTAACAAGGATACATCCTCTCATCCAATTTTTTTAAATTCATTACTCAATCTCAATGTAAAGACCATTCATTTTCAAAAGCAGATGTTTTCAGTTTACTACTTTCAACCGGGAACTAGAGATGGCTCTTTAATAGATATAAAAACTAACCATCTCTTTCTGTTCCCACATACTCTTTGTTCTCTCCCTCTCCTGTTCTCTCTGCTGTAGTTGCTGTCGGAGGGTTTCTGTCTCATGTTCGTACCTATCATGAAAAAAGATTTTCTTCAGGCATTTCGACATTTTAACGTTAGTTATTCATTTCTCAAATTTTTAAATCATACAAAATTAACAAACTCGCGATGCTTAACAATGATGTAACATAAAGCCGGTCCTCCAACCTCCCCCATCCCCTTCATCATTGTAGAAAATACCTAGCATACTCCATCTGTGCAATAAGTTTATCTTCCTCTAATTTCATCTCACGATCCAAAGCTTCCAGCTTCTAAAATAGAAATATTTCTTTGAACAAACTAATCTTACTAAACAATAAACAAGTGAATAGTAAAAAGAATTAGATCTAGGTAAGGCACAGTCTGTGGCCGAGAGGACTAGTGTAATTTATAAAATTTTACCTCTGAGGACCTTAATGTCTGTGCTGACGATTAATTATTCAATGATTTAGAGGAGAAATTTACCTGTTTCTTCATTTCATAAAGCTGTTTCCATTTCTCTCCGTATTCACATTCAAAAGTTCCTGGGTCAGCGAACCTAGGTCCGACCTGAATAATTTATAGATTAATCACAATATTCTGGGAACTAGGGCAGAATAAACCTAGAACAGATTGAAGATTCTACAAAGTGAAAACAAATAATATATTGATGAGATTACAATGAAAGAGTGATATTTGCTACGGTAAGCATTACATAATATCTCTTCGCTGTATTAATCTTAAAAAAACTCTGAATAATTTTTTTCATTGGGATAATTTTTTTTGTATCAATCATGCCCCTCAAATCTTTCCAATATATAATGAGCCCCCCCCCCCCCCTCCAATAAGTAAACATAATCATATCTCTACAAATGTAAAACCTTCAATTTGTTCAGGTTAAGATTGAGAATGATGTAATCTTAAAATGTCAATTTTTTAACTCAGAAAATCGAGATACTTCTTGATCAATTTAAATGTGAAATTACGAATTTTCTTTGACATTGTGAGAATACATTTAATGAAGACTTATAGATATTCGCGTGCGCGGGAATAGTTTTGAACGGTTGGCTCTATATAGTGCTGTTCTACGCTTATGTCAAGTTCCTTAGGACAGAGGGCGGAGTTTGAAGTATTTACTATTTAGAATTTACATATTTTTCAAATGATTTATGGGATTTATATTAGGGGCATCAATTTTAAGTTTAAGATTTAAGATAGATTGACTAGATATATTAATCCTGAGATATGTGTTTTATTTTCTTCACAGCTCCGTGAGCCAGGTACTTCCTCATTATTGTTCTATGCTCTTTGAGCCAGGTTCTATGCTATTAGAGCCAGGGTCTATGCTCTTTGAGTCAGGATCTATGCTCTTTGAGCCAGGGTCTATGCTCTTTGAGCCAGGTTATATGCTATTACAGCCAGGGTCTTTGCTCATAAAGCCGGATCATAACTTAATAAGTCGAAATCTAACCTCTATGATCGAGCCGGATTCTAAGAAGATGCAATTTGATTCCGACTTTTTCTTCTTCACTGATTAGATTAAGTAATAATTTTTTATAGGAATTTTTTTTCAACAAGACAATTTTCGACCAGAACTAAGTGTGTACATCTAAATATTTACATATTTATGTTAAGTTTCAGAATAAAGGTTTGTTACACAATATATTTGGATTAAAGGTAGATGGTTGGGAATTAAGGATAATGGTAGTTTGATGATTAAGAGTATTGTACTAGGAAATTAACATTAAGGAGTATAAAAATTTAATTATAAAGTTGTTGGAGCTTTGTTGAGTTATAACTACAATTTACACGGGATGCATTTAATAATTTTTGAGTAGTTACAATGATAAAGGGGAGGGAGGGGGGGCTAGAAAAGTGAAAGGGTATGGAAAAAACCTAGTATGTCAATTATATCGGTTTATAAAGTATGCATGTGTTTCTATCGTCACAAATTGACTGGTTTAAATTACAATTTACAAATGTTACATTTTAAAGAAAACTTGCATAATTAGATTTAATACGTCATGTGTAAATGATAACATATATTCAAGATGGAAGATGTTAATATACAAATGCAAATAATCTAAAGTAAACATCCCCCCCTCCCCCCAATTTAGAATTTCACACAATACACACCATCAATAACACACACTTCACATAAACAAATACATTACTTCACATTCACACTGGTTTTACAGTTTGCAACTTATTCTTCACAATCAACAAAGTTTTTGTATAGAGTTGTTAATCGTTATTGAAAACGTTCGTTTCGATTTCGGAAAAAAACGATTGCTTTTAAAAACGACCCACTCGTTTTGAACATTAAGAAAAAAGTTGACGATCGTTTTTGAAAACGCGATTTATAAAAACGATTTGCGTCCGTTTTTACGATTGTTTTTAAAAAATCGATCGCTTTTGAAAAAACAAAGTTTTTGAAAAAACAAAATATTGATACTTGGGGGTAAAGCCCTGTTCTATTTATAAAGTTGCCTTGTTTGTCCAAATGTAACCAATAAAAATGTTTACCGGACGGGCACTTGTTCCTTCCAAGTTGCGGCCCTGCAATGGTTTTTTGCACAACTTATGATTATAGACCAACTTACTGAACATTTTTTATTTAAAACCTATTAGTAAACATGACTAAGAAGAAACACGAAGCGCTCCAAGTTATAAATATTGTCATACTTGTACCAAATGATCTCTTCCTTTCAATTACACAGTTTATGGTTTAATCAATATATCTGTCTAGTCATATTAACAATCTGATCAATCTTCTATACAGGGTTTAGATTAGATATCTAATAAGGATGTGTATATATATTCACATTATGTATATCTAAATGAGAAAAACACAGAAATATAGGGTTTTGTTACACTAGAGTAGAACTTTTGCACTTTAAAGAATCGAGCACTAACCAGTTCAGGTTATCAATAGCTTGCGCAGTCTTCATTATACAGAGGGTTCAATAACCACTAGGATTAATGGAACCTCTGTATTGGAGTGAAGAGTTAAATTAAGATAGTTTATTCATTAGAATAGATTTCGAAATATTAATTGTAGGTTCATCTTTATAAAGTAAACTAGATGTTTATACACCAAATAAACAATATTTTTAAGGCCTAGGTTTAATGGAACGTATTAACGATTCACACTCCCTCTACCTACTCCCCCCCCCCTTCTTCATAACGGTCCAATTCTACATTCCCACAATTTTCAGTTATCCCAGTAATTTTAGATTTCCATAATAAAAAATTAAGGTGGTAGGGTTGAAATATTCATATCCATATCTATTAAAAACGTTTTATTTGCTATTATTTGGAGTTAAACTTTCACTAGGCCTTAAAAAAATCATTTAATTCCGAAAAAATCATTCAGATATTGGAAACAATGGTCGTCGATTATTTTTCGACGCATTCGTAAAAAGTAAATATTTCATAATAGTTTTGATTCTGTTTTTTTTAAATAATACTTCGCTGACGCTGAATTTTCGAAAATTTCTGGATAATATGAAAATGTCGTCTTCATTATCAAAGATCCGAAACAGGAATAAATATTTTCAAAAGTAACTCAGATCATAAAAATTAAAAAATATTATGAAATATCAACTATATACGAATGCGTCGAAAAATAATCGATGATTATTGGTTGTAAGATCTGAATGTTTTTTAGGAATTAAATTGATCTTTTACGATCCGAGTTAAATGTTTCAACTTTCTAAATTTGTATGGACTCGTACGTTCTTTGGTTTGAGTAGTTAAACAATTTTCTTCTTATAGACACTACAGATAGAAAGTAAGATTGGCAGTGATCAAAAGCGCTAATTTTTTGGCGTAAGCCTATACCCTTTCATTTTTCTTGAACACTCCCTTTAATATACAGTTCATTAAGTAACTTTAGTAGAAGTAAAAAAATTAAAAATTTATGTTTGGAGTTACTAATTGTAATATAATCGTTATGTTAGCTACTGTTTAGGGGAGTGCTGGATTCTCAAAGGTACCCTTAAAACCTTTATCAGATACAGAACGAATAATACATCTTTCACATTAATGTTTAGATAACGGTTTTACTTGTCAAGGTAACGTTGTGAGTCGGGCATACCCCTTCTTTTTTCTTTTTAATGGAAGTTACTTGGAAGTACACAGGACAACTGACCTTGAAGAACTTGTTTATAAGTTCTTTTTACGTGTTCCTAGACTGTCCACATAAGTGGGAATTTCAAAGAAACAAATGCATTGAAAATTTCAGGATTATGTTTATAACCAGGACAAAAATTGATAGAATTTGGATGGTGTTTATTAAAGGGAAAAAAAGTTTTAGGATTATGATTATAAACAGGACAAAAATGGATGTACAGTTTTAGGATTTGATTATAAACAGGACATAAATGACTAGAAAGTTTTGGATGATGTTATAACAGGACAAAATTTAGGAAGTTTTAGGATGATGTATACAAACAGGACAAAAATGGATGGTAATTTTTTGGATAATGTTTTCAACAGGACAAAAATAAGTTTTAGGGCGATGTTTATAAACAGGAAAAAACGAATAAAAAGTTTAGGATGATGTTTAACAGGACAAAAAAGGATGAAGCTTGAAAATAATATTTTTTTTGTGTAATACTTAGTCTAAATTACATGAACAAAGGAAATTTCTGTAAAATATTTCCAACAACCCAACCTTTGGTATTTATTAGATATTCGATATTTCGCAAACCAACATTATTCGATCAGTGGAATAGGTTTCTCCTAAACATTTATTCATTCCACCTTAAAATTCAGTTAACAAAATAATCTAATTAACTCTCTTCTTAATACCTAGTGGAGGTTCTTGTGGTAAATAATTTGTTCCATACCAAATGAGATTTTTTCTTAGTGCAAAAATGATAAAGATGGAACGTTTTGAAACAAATAAACTTATGGTATTAGGGTAATATCCGTAAATTTTGGTAGCAGATATGAAATGAAAATATCCACCTATATTCTGAATAACTCAAAATAATTTTAAAGTCTTCATCAAAAACCCCGGTAGATGAAAAACATAAAAAATTATCCACAAGCTCTGCATCAGAAACCTACGAAAAATCTAAAAAAACTAAATATTTATGAGTTTGTTACAGGAAAGGTAAGTTTTAATATTTATTATTATTTTGTACGCATCAAATTAAATAGTTGAGATAATTATATGAAATGGAATCTGTTGATAAATGATTTAAATAATGTATATATATTTCTACCGGATATTTTTTAAAACAAAGCTAGTTTAGTTATTTTGGGGAAAACAATTTGACAAGGGTTTAAAAGGAATTAATTCTAGTGATAATAGATGTTCAGTGTTTGTGTTGCATTTGCATAGGAACTAGATCTAAATGAAGGAGTAAAATAGAATAAAAAATTAAAAATTGTCGTGATTAAGCGGCTTTCACAGAAACAGTTGATTTGGAAAAGTAATTTAAGGCAAACTTTCAATGAAACATGTTAAAAATAATGCAAATTTTTCCCTCTTTTTGTATTTTTTGGTAACAGTAATCAACTTGAAAACGGGACAATTTTATTTACTTAATCCGTAAATTTAAATGTTCCAGCTTTATTTATATTATATCTATTAGTATTTAAAGATTATGTTCTAACTCTAATATTGTATTATCATTTACCAATCATTCCTAAAAACCTAAAACATAACTTGTTAATTATGTCATGTAATGACGATGGGTTTTTTCCCTGGAAAATTTGTTAATAATATTCAGAGTGAAAAACTTAGTATTCATTAGATTTGGTGGTCAAAAACATTTGGCGAATAAAGACATTGCATTGGACATCATAAATTCAGGGTGTTTATTTTTTTTAATCGCACACTCCCAGGAGGGANATCTGGGGGAAATGAAAAATTGAACATAAAGAGACAAGTTTTCTTGATCATTTTAAATACTTAATAACCCAAATAAACATTATTTTCCCCTATTCAAGTGAATAAAAATTGTTGGTTGGAGAACACTAGAGAGTTTTTTTCATTTTCTGTTCTTAATACGTAATAAAACTTTAGTTTCACTTGGTGAACTGTGTATAATAATTAAGATGAAATAATCACTTTTATTTTTTATGTTTAATTGTAATAAAATAATCCTTCTAAGCAACAATAACAGAAAATCAGACTCTCTAAAACGTTTATAAATAGGTTTTAAGTTTTGTTCCCAGAAAAAAAAATTTATTTACGGCAGTTTGTTAAACTGCGTTATAAAGATATGGTTAACCATCCCTCCGTTGTAATTAAACTAGACAAGTTGAATTCTGCACAATATCTTCTATTGAACATGAGAAAAATATGTTTTCCTGACCGGGGAAGGGGTGGTTTACATAAAAAGCTTTTTATTCAGAGGCAAATCAATTCGAGAAACTCATATATGGGAAGGGGGGTGATAGTGGAAATGGGTTTCCTAGATTAAAAGAAAATTTTATTATACGAAGATATAGTCTTTTATACATACAGATTGTCAATTAGACTTGCTTTAGTCATATCTGTGATTAATTTTTTCTATTTAACTTGCGATGAGAAAATAGAGAAATAATCATTCACAAGGACAATTTAACTAGTTTAATAAAATAATTTTATAAATAGAATCTTAGAATTAGCCATATCAAAATTCAGATCAAAATATAAGAATATCGGGTCTATCCTTGAGAACGATTTTTGGACCCCTAAAAATCGTTCTCTGGGAAATTACCAATTAGTTAAATACATTTCGCGAATGCAAATTTGATAGGGGGGCAAGAGAGAGGAGGTTCAAAAATCTTCAACTAAGAAAAAACCTTTTGTTCAGAAATGTATTAAAGATTTCAATTTTATCGTTAATGATAAAATAGACGTTTTCCTACCTCCTCGTCCTCCTCTATCCTCTCCATTCTCATGACGTCCACCTCCTCTATCTCCACCGCCTCCACGACCTACCATAGGTCCTCCACGTCCTCCCATAGGACCTCCAGGTCCCCCACGTCCTCCCATAGGTCCACCACGACCTCCCATTGGTCCACCACGACCTCCCATTGGTCCACCACGACCCCCTCGGCCCATTAAAGGTTTAGGTTCCATAGCTGGCTTGGATTCAACCGCCGCCATTTTTTTGTGTTTTGTTTCTGAAAATATAAGTTTCTTAAATAAGGAAGCAACCCGAAAAAGCGCCCTTAAAGCGTTAATACCATCCCCCTGTCTCCCTCGGCAGCGGCTCTGAGGCCTCTGAGGGAAGGCTCACTCGACGGTCCCGTGCGAGGCGGTCGCGACGGGAAGCCCCGACTTAAGAAATTCGACAGTAACCGTCATCTTGTCGATGATCTGGCGCATATCCTTCAGCTCCTTGATCTCCATAGCGCGGAACTCATTTGATCGCCTGCTCTCGTTTTCGACGGCTGATCTCAGTAGCGCCACCTGCAAGAGGATGTCTTTGCAGACGTTTAGTATCTTCAAGCCGGCTAGCTCTATCCTGGCGAGCTCTGGTCTGTCCTGTTCATCCCCTCCAACAGGAGGCACAGAGGAGTAAGGATTCGTCATAGCTCGGTAGGCTTGTTAGTCGTTTCTATGAAAATATAAGTAGGTTCAAATAAAATATTGTCCTTCAATTATTTGAAATTATATTTGTATGCAAAATAACAAGTGTATCTTATAGAATTCACAACTTTAACAAGCACCGCTTGAAATTCAATGAACATGTCACAAAATGGCCGACTCGACTACAAACAGTTAGGATCTTGGGCCAGCTGGGGGAGATGGGAGAAAGTATTGAGGGTGAGGTAGGCCAGGTTTGGACCGGGCCGGACAGTACGTTTCGTTAGGATGAGCCGGACTGGCGGGGAAAAGAAGCCAGGTCGATAAGAAAGTAGAAACTTCTAAACCTTAGCCTTGGGTAGATTCAGTGCGGGCCGGGACTGTAAAGTATGTCCCAGCACGCCCTAATTTCGGCCCGAGTCTCTACCTTTCACATTGATCACGTGATTTTGTGAGAAAGTATTTTAAGTCACGTGATTTTTTCAACCAATTGTATCTTCGTATATAAATCGGAAAAATTCAAAAGTGACCGGGAATCACAGACTTCTCTCTGTTAAAGACGACATACTTTTTACTTAAAAAAAGAACATTCATTTATTTAGTAACGATGAAATTAGCAATCGCAGCAATAACACATTCCAAATCCATCAACTCCACACCAAGTTTCTCCTGAAAAATTACAAAAATATAATTTAAAAAGTTTGTGTGCGCAAATTCTTTCTACTATATTGTTTAATAACTCTGAGACAATTGTACTGTTCTATAAAGTCTATAGAGAGAATAGAGAGAAAGCACTAATAAAATTTTTTAAAAATGATTAACTCAGCCTAAATGAAAAGCTTTGAATTGGAAAAGAAATAAATATCAAAAATGTTATATATATATATATATATATCCATAGACACAGTGTTTCGTCCTATTAGGACTCATCAGTATGGCTCTATTCATCAGATTTGATTTTTGCAGTTGACGGAACTTGATCCATGAATCCATAGATTATGAGTCTAACACGCTAACCACTGCTCCATCAAATCCTGATGATTTGGTAATGAAATAAGGACCAGAGAGCTCAACCAACTCATTATAAGTTGAGGGCCTTGCATAATGCTAATTAGTACACCTATTCATTACCACAGAGAACTCATATATATATACTCATATATATACTCATATAGCTTTATATATATATATATAGCTTACTTATATTGCTTACTTAAATAGCTTATATAGCTTACATAGCTTTATCATATATTCATTATTTACATACTTAATCAGAAATAAATTGGGACTGTAGCTATAGTGACCAATGCCCAATTCTCACCGGCACCCTTGAAACCTTTATCTGATCAAAAATGTGGAAGATATTGTCGTTTTTCTAGAATTATAAGTGTTTGATTCTGATAAATCCTATGTATTTTCCTGCAGTAGAAATGCGCAAGTCACTTTTGTCGAGTATTCAAAATTGAAAATAATCAGTTTTTAAAATTGTATACATTAATTCATACTTGAACAGATAAAGCATTTAAGGTTTATACCATTGTGAATCGGGCAGTGTCATCTTTGCCCGGAGGGTCACTTGAAATTATGATTATAGTCTCTTTAAAAATTATAAGAACCATGATACTTACTCCTGACAGAGGGGTTCATCAAAGCAGTCAATCTTGATACAGTTGTCAGGATCAGGAGATGTAAACTCCGAGGCTGTTGTACACAGAGGGAAACAGGGATCAGGAGACCAATCAGAAGTCACACCTTTATGTACAGTACCGTTTTTTAATTTTAAACAGATTTACATGTATGCTGTTTACACTGTACTCTGTACACTGTACACTGTACACTGTACACTGTACACTGTACACTGTATAGCCTTTATTTTTGCCTTTAACCCTATCCCTGCTGGGGTACTTGAAAACCAGGATATGCTGGGGGGGGGGGTCAATTTCCCCCCCCCCCCTCTAAATCCCATGTCCAAATATGACAAATGATACATCATTAGAAGGCTCTTGTGCTCTACTTTTAGAATCTGCAAAAAAAATTGCAAATTTGAAAAAATTTAATTTTTTATTGCAAAATCCAGTTATATAGTAAAAATGTTTGCAAAAAAGAATTTGTCAAAAAAATGAAAAATTATACATTTTAGAACAGCCCTTAATTGACCATGCCATTTCAAATATGAAAAAAATTTTGCAAAATTTTAAATAACCTGATTTTTAATCAAGAAAAACTAAAAATGTGCAAATTTCCTTTGACAGGTTGTTTGCAAAAAATTTGAAATTTGTGCAATCCGTTTCCTTATGTCATAGGCTTTTCAAAAAGCTAAACTTTATCAAAATCTGGCAAGTGAAAGTGGGTCAAAACAAAGATTTAGTTTGTTACAGGAAAAAAGCAGTCATTCAGGCAACGTGCCTCAGGACTCAGGCAGTATTAAAGCCCGGTTTTAGGCCTAATGGGAGGAGCTTTGGGTATGTAAGAAAAGTCAGAAAATTTCAACAGCCTCAGACCAATACTTTTTGAGTTATGTAAAAAAAAACTATAAGGGGGGGTCAAATTGAACCCCCCCCCCCCCCAGCAGAAATAGGGTTAATTAACCTAAACTTTGTTCTGCATGAAACTGAAATTTACTTGTTCATAAACTGCAGCCTGGATTTTTTTAACTATCGTTTTTCGTTTCGTTTTCGTTTTTTTTTTCTAAGCCGTTAACACAACGGACCGATCATTTTTCAAAAAGTTAAAACAATTAATTTCCCTATAAGATGAAAATTAAAAATTGAAAATGATTTTATCTAATTTGGTCATTTTGAGAAAGTTTACATTTAACTCTTGAAAATGGTTTGACAATATAGATATTTATGCTGTAGTAAATGCTTAATTACTTATTATGAGTTAGGTTTACATTAGACTCTTAATATATATATAAATTTGGCTTGTCTGTCTGTTTGTTTGTATCCAATAAACGTCAAAACGGCTGAACCGATCGGGCCCAAATTTTTTGTGGGACATCTAGGGACCCAAGGGAAGGTTTATGAATGATTGAAATTTTAAATATGTGTCTCCATCAAAATTCGATCTTCATTAAATTTTTTAAAATTTTGAAAATCCACGAAATTTTTTGTGAAAATCCGCGAATTATTTTTGTTTTGTTTTACGATGTACACAAAGAGAACATGTTCACAATTAATTTAGAAGATGGGCGCGAAGTGCCTTCTAAGGCTAGTCTATATATAAATTTGGCTTGTCTGTCTGTTTGTTTGTATCAATAAACGTCAAAACGGCTGAACCAATCGGGCCCAAATTTTGTGTGGGACTTCACGGGACCCCAGGGAAGGTTTATGAATGATCAAAATGTTAAAAATTTGTTTTTGAGAGTTTATATTCTTGTAAAATTTTGAAAATGCGCGAAAAAAATATTATGAAATCCGGAAAATTTTTTGTTTTTGTTTTATATTGCACAAAGAGAAGATGCTCACAGATAAAGTCACAATTAAAAGTTGAAATATGAGATGGGCGCGAAGCGCCCTAAAAGCTAAGTAATAGTATTAATTGACAATTTGTTAATGTATTGATGAGTAAATGATATTGTAAAAAAGCGGACACATTTTTAAAAAAAGAATTCGTCTTCCGATGAAAAGCAAAATATAGAGATTGTTCCAATCTTGTGTGTAAATTTCTCATTACTTTAAAGGAAATAAAATATTACCCCTCCCCTCCTTCAGCTCCTGTCTGTTTCCTGTAAAGGCTAACGTACTGCCAACAACAAATAATAAAGAAAACAACATTGTCTAATGTACTCTACAGGTGTACTGAAGAAAAAGTAAACAAACTTCTTTAAAGATAAGAAAATTTATTCACATAAATATTATATAAATATCAACTAGCTTGCAGGAACCCAGCTTTACCTGGAGTTTTTGAAATAAAATTCAACCCACTCAACTTAAAATCTTTAAACTGCAGATTTAGAACATTCCCGTGGTTCAACATATAGTTCCCCATAAGTCCAGGGGGGTTTATGAAACATCTAAATAAACAGAGTACACCCAGACAAACAATCAGCAATTACTAATTTATGTATATTAGTATTTGAAAATGTCTAAACGGCCGAACCAGTGCAGTCGTCGGGGTCTTTTTTTCAAAGATGTGCGCAACGCTAACTAGATTCTTTTCTCAGACAATAATACATAATTCCGTAAAGCTGACACAGTTCATATAGGAATTATTAAATATTTATATAATTAATAATGATTTAACAATAACATAAAAATAATTGAAGTTGTACAATGGTTCCTCGATCAAGATAATTGTCGGCTAGAAACTGTAATTATATATAGGGATTTATCATCATGTGTTTGTATTTCTGACCAGTAGTTATAATGTTGAAATTCATGATACTTCTCGCCCCCTTTTCAAAAATTTTGAAAGTTTGTAATATTTTTAGGCATAAATTATTTATAATTTTTTTTACATCGTTATAGAGTCCCGCCGACTACATACTCAACTTAGGATCTTAAAACCAAGCTAAGAACATTTCCGTGGCCTCCCGAGTTCCCCAATCAAAATTTGAGGCAAATCGGTCCAGGGGTTTTTGAGTTATGATCGGACAAACAGAGATTACAACTTTATATATATATAGATATATACAATATATATGTATATCTATTTTTTTTTAAACATGCCAGTCCTAAGTCCATATAGAAATTTAACTTAACACGAATAAACAGGAAGGTTCAACTTATTTTTTGTGTTTGGGTTGCTTTAAAAACAAAGGACCTTTTTTAAGTAAAATCCTGTAATGAAAAAATAAAAGTATGATGAAAAGTGAATAATGATGTGCGATAAAAAGTCGAAGTAACAGACTCGTTTAACAAGTATTTTATTTTCTATTCTTTGTACATATATTATATTCATATGCAAACTTATTGATGAATTTATTTTTATATTTATATTTTGAAGGACGAGAACAAACAATTAACTGGGTGTACAATGTACAAAATAAAATGTACATACAAATATTAATTAACCTT